AGGAGAATTGCTTGAACCTGAGAGATGGAGATTTCAGTGAGCCGAGATTGTGCCACTATACTCCAGCCTAGGCAACAGGGTGAGACTCCGTCTTAAAAAATAAATAAATAAATATACACAAATAGACCAATGCAACAGAATAGACACTACAGAAACACTTTACATATATGACTACATGATTTAAACAATGGCACCACAGCAATTTATTGTGAAAAGGATGGTATTTTCAATCAAAGGTATTTGATCTGTTGGATATCCATAAGAAAAAAACGAACTTTGTACCTCTGAGTATACACAAAAATTAATTTGAGATGGATACTAGATCTCAATCTGAAACTAAAGCAATTAAGCCTCTAGGACAAACATAAGGAAAATATCTTCTGACTAGGTTAGACAACATTTCTTAAACAGGATGCAGAAAGCACTAACCATGAAGAAAAAGTGGTGGCTGGACATGGTGGCTGACATCTGTAATTTCAGCACTTTGGGAGGCCAAGGTGGGAGGATTGCTTGAGGCCAGGAGTTCAACAGCAGCCTTGGCAACATAGAGAGACCCTGTCTCTACAGAAAATTTAAAAATTAGCCAGGCGTGGTAGTGCACACCTGTAGTCCAAACAGGAGGCTGAGGCGGGAGGATTGCTTGAGCCCAGGAGTTCAAGGTTACAGTGACCTGTGATCACGCGACTGCACTCTAGCATGGGCAAAAGAGTTAAACCCTGTCAAAGAAAGAAAAAAAAAGAAAGAAAAGAAGGAAAGAAAGAGAAAAAGTCGCAAACTGGACTTTATTAAAATTAAAGACTTCTTTTCATTAAGAACTTCTTAGAGGAATGAGGCAAGCCTGGGAGAAGATATTCAACACATATAGTATTTAACAAAGGACTTGCATTGAGGATATACGAACTCCTCCAGAGAATACTTATAACGTAATAGTACAGGTAATAGATCTTGGCGGTTTGAAGATGGAGAGGAGAGGTAAAGAAAAGGGTAGGGATACTTATGTTCTCATCATATATAATGTGGAGTGAAGAGAGCCTATGTCAGCCTGATGGAACAAGATAACTAAGACTTAAATATTCTTTAAACCAATAAGGTAATAAAATAGAGGAATTTAAAAAATAACATTATGATATTGGGAGGGGAGATAGGCAGGGCTGTGGAGGGTAAGTAACCTAAGTTCTCAATTATCTTTGCAGAAAGCCAATGGATTACTTCTAAAGTTAATAAAAGATAATTGTACATGCATATTATTTAGAAGCATGGAAGTAACTACTAGAAGATCTACAATAAAAATAGTTAAAAATGGGCCAGGTGAGGTGGCTCATGCCTGTAATCCCAGCACTTTGGGAGGCTGAGGTGGGTGGATCGTGAGGTCAGGAGTTCAAGACCAGCCTGGTCAAGATGGTGAAACCTCATCTCTATTAAAAATACAAAAAATTAGCTGGGCATGGTAGTGGGCACCTGTAATCCCAGGTACTCAGTAGGCTGAGGCAGAGAACTGATTGAACCCAGTAGGCGGAGGTTGCAGTGAGCCAAGATTGAGCCACTGCACTCCAGCCTGGGCAGCAGAGCAAGACTCCATCTCAAAAAAAAAAAGTTAAAAATGGTTGCTTTTAGGGTATGAGGGTGAAAGAAAGTAGAATGGTGTTAAATATTTATTTTTCATCATAAATTCTTCTATATTACTTATTAAAGAAGTACATGTTAGATTAAAATATTTAATTTTTTAAAATTCCTACATTTACATTACTATAACTATGCAAATAATTCACTTCTACGGCCAAGCAACGTGCTAAAACTATGCATCCTTTTTTAGAAGTCACCCACTTGACTCTATCTAGAATCAAGATGCTGTGTCTAGAATCAAAAGCAAATGTATTCTCTTCACATCTTAGAACAATTTTAATCTGTCATATCTGAACCATGACTTTCACGGTTAGCTCTTTTTCAAAGTTTCTAATCTCTTTTTTCTAAATCCAGACTCTGTCATACTTTCTATTGCATGGGGTACCATTTTCCTCCCGGATATAACCCTCTTAGAGGCATTCAATATCCTGATCTAACTTAAATTTATTACTATTTTTATTTTCTTTGGGTTCTATCTCTTTTTTCTTTCTTTCTGTTTTGATATTATTGGTTTTCCTTAAAAGTGAACCTTGGTTGTCCATTAATACTTAAGAATGAAGGTCTGTGTCAATTTTTCTAGGAGCTAGTACGAGTATCTTTTGTTAGTATTCTGTCTCCCCAGTGTTCTCACTCAGGAGTGGGAAAATTGCCTGGGGGCTTCATGATGTGAGTGGAATAACAAATTAGCAGGCTTTCTTTAATGGGTAGCCAGCTATTAAGCAGGGTGTCTCTCAAATACCAAAATTAACAGGCAACAGGGCATAATTAAGAGGGTTTCACTGAGGAATGCCAAATCCATGCTAGAACTAGCTTTTCCAGATAGTTCATTTGATTTTTCATTTTTCTTTTTTTTTTAAAAAAAGAGATAAGCCTCCAGGGTTTGTGTCTTTTTTGCCTAATAGTATATATCTGTCTACAAGCAGATTTGTGACTAGCAGTAAACATCCACCTACCTGCAGCTCTTGGTCTACAAAAGACTGGAGACAACTGGCACAGCTGCTCCATGTACAGACCTTCAATTAAACCCCCTGTCTTCAGTCCTTCTCCTTCCAGCTCTTTTAAATTGTTAACTCCAAATTCATATCCTCTCTGGGGTTCCAATGGCAAACCAATTCCCTCATTGGAACCCCTATGAAATGTGTCTAGGCAAGTGTTTCTACAGTTTTTCCAAAGGATGCTATCATCTATTTTTAGTTTTCCGAAAATTAGATAAAATTTTTCTGTGCTCATGAACCCCCTCTCTTTGTTATGGATTAACCTTCTATACAGTGTCATTTCAATGGGGTTCTGGAGGGACACAAGGTGAAATGTGTCCTCAGTCTATACACACACACACACACACACACACACACACACACACACACACCTATTTACATGGCTTCTCTGCCAAAGCTCCTTTAAGGGCAAGGATATATTGTAAAATGCCTAGCACAATGTCAGGAACACAACAGTTAGTCAAAGGTGTGTGGCTGGTTGAATGTGAGAGAAAATAGCTGCAAACAATAGAAAAGCTTAAGCCTAGATAATGTATATGTCAATCAAAACCAACTAAGGAAGAATAAGTTTTAAAAGAAGATTAGCTGGGTATAATGGTGCTCGGCTACAGGGCAAGTTACTTGGGAAGCTGAGGTGGGAGGATCACTTGAGCCCGGGAGTTTGAGACCATCCTGGGCAATGTAGTGAGATTCCTGTATCTTTAAAAAATACATATTATTTTAGTGTTAGAAATCAACATAGTTACACCCCAGCATAGGTTTTATGGCCTTGGTATAGGCAAATAATGAAGCAACTTTACAAAATGTGATTAACTGATACAAAGGTGGTCTTGTAAGCCATAAAACCTTTGTATCAGTGTGTGTTACAAACAGAGCCATATTTCTTCAGTTAAAATTACCAGGCACAGGCCGGGTGCGGTGGCTCAAGCCTGTAATTCCAGCACTTTAGGAGGCCGAGACAGGCGGATCACGAGATCAGGAGATCGAGACCAGCCTGGTTAACACGCTGAAACCCCGTCTCTACCAAAAAAATACAAAAACACTAGCTGGGCGAGGTGGTGGGAGCCTGTAGTCCCAGCTACTCGGGAGGCTGAGGCAGGAGAATGGCGTGAACCCGTGAGGCGGAGCTTGCAGTGAGCTGAGATCCGGCCACTGCACTCCAGCCTGGGCAACAGAGTCAGACTCTGTCTCAAAAAAATAAAACTACCAGGCACAGAGTCCTGCTGCTATCAGAGAGAAAAGAGTGAGGTCATTCTAGTTCTTGGCTCTCACTCAACCAGATAATTCAACTTGGAATATTCCTTACACCTATAAGACCAGCTCTACCCTTACAAAAGCACAACAAGTGACCACAACATTAACCCGGATATAGTGTATTATTAACAAACTTTAAGCTCCTCGAGAATAAGTACTCAATAAATATTTAATGAGTGGCTATATTCCTAACATCTGCTCACAATGCTGGTTCCTCAGTCAAGAAATAAAGTGTTCAGAGGTGAAAGGCAAATAATCTTCTTAATGATACTTTCATTGATAACCATTATAAAAGTGCCTAGCCCAGATCAGGAACTCAATAAACATTTGTGCAGCTAATGAAATAATTGTAACTTTTTGAAACGTTAAAAAAGTCTGCTTTTTTGTTGTTTTTGTTGCCCAGGCTGAAGTGCGATGGCATGATCTAGGCTCACCACAACCTCCACCTCCCAGGTTCAAGCGATTCTCCTGCCTCAGCCTCCCGAGTAGTTGGGATTACAGGCATGCGCCACCATGCCCAGCTAATTTTGTATTTTTAGCAGAGACAGGGTATCTCCATGTTGGTCAGGCTGGTCTCGAACTCCTGACCTCTGATGATCCACCCGCCTCAGCCTCTCAAAGTGCTGGGATTATAGGTGTGAGCCACCACGCCCAGTCAAAAAGTCTGCTTTTTAAAGTGAAGAGTGGCACACAATTCTGCAAGTATTCTAAAAGCTACTGAATTGTACACTTTATATAAAAAGTATTGAACATTGAACTGGCCGGATGCAGTGGCGCATGCCTGTAATCCCAGCACTTTGGGAGGCCGAGAAGGGTGGATCACCTGAAGTCAGGAGTTCAGGACCAGCCTGGCCAACATGGTGAAACCCCATCTCTACTAAAAATACAAAAATTAGCCGGGCATGGTGGTGCGCCTATAATCCCAGCTACTGGGGAGGCTGAGGTGGGAGAATTGCTTGAACCTGGGAGGCAGAAGCTGCAGTGAGCCGAGATCATGCCACTGCACTCCAGCCTAGGCAACAGAGTGAGATTCTGTCTCAAAAAAAAAAAAAAAAAAGTATCGAACTGTACATTTTGAATTTCATGACATAAAAATTATATCTCAATAAAACTTCTAAATAAACTCACAAGGAAACTTTTCCAGGCCTGCTGAATGACTCTGGCAGCTTTATCCTGCTTTAAAACTTCTAATTCCTCTTCCCAAGGCATTTGAAATTCCTAAAAGAAAAGGAGCAAAACAAAAAGGGTACATTTAAAATAATTTTAATTTATTTTCATTTTTATTTGTTTTTTTTTTAGAGACATTTTTATTTATTTATCTATTTTAGATTCTTGTTCTGTCACCCAGGCTGGAGTGCAGTGCTGTGACGATAGCTCACTGCAGCCTCAAACTGGTGGGCTCAGTGATCCTCTCACCTTAACTTCCTAAGTAGCTGGGACTGTAGGCGTGCACCACCACACCTGGCCTTCTTTTTTTAATTATTATGTTTTTGTAGAGATGGGGTCTTGCTATGTTGTCCAGGCTGGTGTCAAACACCTCCTGGCTTGGCCTCCCAAAGTGTTGCGATTGTAAGTGTGAGCCACTGTGCCCAGCCTAAAATTATTTTATATGCTCCATTATAAAACTACCACTAGAACTCAATGAAAATTAAAGAGTTGTACAAATAAAACAATTAAGATTTCATATCAAAATAATAAAAATAAAAATAGTCACCTTTTTATTTTTTAAGAGACAGAGTCTTTCTCTATTGCCTTGGCTAGAATGCCATGGCAGGATCATAGGTCACTGTAGCCTTGATCTCTTAGGCTCAATCGCTCCTCCTGCCTCACTGTCCTGAGTAGCTGGGACTACAGGCACATACTACAATGCCTAGCTAATTTTTAAAATTTTTTGTAGAGACAGGTTCTTGCTATGTTTCCCAGGCTGGTCTTGAATTCTTGTACTCAAGTGATCCTCCCACCTCTGCCTCTGAAAGTGCTTGGATTACAGGCATGAGCCACTGCGCCCAGCCAAAAGTGGTCAGCAATTATTGGTGATTTAATATGTTCTAATTTGTATATTTTTTCTAATTCCAGCAATAATCCTGCATAGCAGATTTCACTAATATGCTTGTGTTAGAGATGAGGAGCCTAAGCTTTAAGGCCTAAGGTCAAATAGTGAATAACTAAGCCAGTTACTGAATTCAAGTTTATCTTCAAAGTCCATGACTTTTACATGCACTGTTGTATGACTTCAAATAAACCTTTCTTAAAGTGCATAGAGACAGAGTTGCATCCACAAAATTGTACAGGTCCCTAACCTAAAATTAGACCTTATATGGTCAAATATAAAAGGAAAAAAAAGGTTATGCACTGAATACAGGGAGAAACATGGATTTTTACTTAGTGTTATTACACTTCACAGAATAATGTCACTCGTTACATTTACAGTAGCAATATAGTTCTGAGATGCTTTATCATAGTCCAAAGTGAATAAATTTTGCTTAAAAGCTTAAAATTCTGGGCTGAATACAGTGACTCATGCCTGTAATTCCATGGTTTTAGGAGGCCAAGGCAGGAGGATTGCTTGAGGCTAGGAGTTTAACACCAGCCTGGGCAATATAGCAAGACCCCTGTCTCTACAACAACAACAAAAAGCTGGGTAGGGTGGCACATACTGTAGTCCTAGCTACTTGGGAGGCTGAAACAGGAGGATGGCTTGAGCCCAGGAGTTCAAAGCTGTAGTGAGCTATGACTGCACCACTGCACGCCAGCCTGGGCCACAAAATGAGAACATGTCTCTAAAAATAATAAAAATTTAAATTCTGAATTGGTGCATGTAAAATGCAAAACATGTAAGGATTTACAAATCCCAAAGCCCGGACCTATTTAAACACATAACATACATCTACTAATATGTTTAGAAAGACAGAGGCTAAACAGAAAGCTGTCAAAAAGGATATGCCATTCATAAGAAAAATGAAAGAAAAATATATTTATATATTTCTCAATTTGTCATTTTTCCCTTTTGATGTTTAAAGTTATTCAGATGCTTAAAACTAACGGTGTTTTCTTCCTAATTTGGTAAATTGTTTTTTAAATTGACATTTTTAAGAGTTAGGAGAAGGTTCTCTATGAAAAAAACTTACGTCTTTTTTGCTTTCCCTACAAATAGCCTTAACAATATAGGAGGCAATGGGAAGAGAGGTTAAGTCTTTGGGCTCTGAGGCAAGATAGACCAGGGTTTAAATCTTAACAAATTCTACCTCATCCTTAGCTGTGTGATTTTGCAAAAGTTACTTAACTCACTCAAACTTCAAGTTACTCATCTGTAAAATATGGGGACTCATTGTACCTAACTCATAGAATGGTCAGGATTAAGTCAGGTAACACAGGTAAAGCATTTAATATAGTTTCTGACCCATCACAATAAATCATATCTATTATTATAACAAACTTTTCCAGAATAAAAACTATTCATGTGCAGTATTCCAGTTAGAAAACTGAGATAGCATTTTAAGTACAATTATTCTCTTAATTGACAAATAACTGTTGGCATAAATGAAATTAAGGAAATTTCACGCCTAAAAGATTTGTTAATTTTTTTTTTTTTGAGACAGAGTCTTGCTCTGTCACACAGGCTGGAGTGCAGAGACATCATCTCAGCTCACTGCAACCTCCACCTCCCGGGTTCAAGTGATTCTCATGTCTTAGCCTCCTGAGTAGCTGGGATTATAGGTATGTACCACCATGCCCAGCTAATGTTTGTATTTTTAGTAGAGACAAGAGTTTCACCCTGTTGGCCAGGCTGGTCTCGAAATGCTGGCCTCAGGCAATCCACCCGCCTTGGCCTCCCAAAGTGCTGGGATTACAGGCATAAGCCATTGCACTCAGCAGCAACAATTTTTGTAGGATAGTTTTTACAAGTGGAATTGCTATGACAAAAGGTAGGCACATATATATTTCTGTTTTTTGTTTGTTTGTTTTCTGAGACGGAGTCTCGCTCTGTTGCCAGGCTGGAATGCAGTGGTGCGATTTTGGCTCCCTGCAACCTCCGCCTCCCGGGGTCACGTGATTCTCCCGCCTTAGCCTCTGGAGTACCTGGCACTACAGGTGTGTGCCACCGTGCCCAGTTAATTTTTGTATTTTAAGTAGAGATGGGGTTTCACCATGTTGGCCAGAATGGTCTCGATCTCTTGACCTCATGATCCACCCACCTCCCAAAGTGCTGGGATTACAGGTGTGAGCCACTGCGCCTGGCACACATATACATTTGAATTGACTGTCTCTGGAAGGGGATATGAGAAATTACTAAGAATGACTGTCTCTAGGAAGGGACCTGTGGACTGAGCAGCCTGGGTTCAGAAAGGGAAGAGATGTTTTTGTTCCAGTATACTCTTTTACACTGTTGTTTTTTTCCCACAATGTGCATTTAGTTCAGAGATACACAATATAACTTCATAAAAAATAAAACAGTATGCATATTAAAACCTAACACTGACAAACTGTCCTCAAAAATGGTGTCCAATTTATACCCATAAACATTCCACGGGAACGCTTGACTCTAAATTTTAGAAAAGTAAAAAACTAAACGTAAATTAGATATTAGGACGATAACAGGTCTTTTAATATTCTTTCCAAGAACTAAATTGTATGATTTTTACCTGTCATCAATGTAGTGTGTTATTTAACATGATAGCATTAGCATTAATCCATCACAATTTTGTCATTTTCCCAAATACATTCTCAATTTTGTAGGTGAAAATTTAACACTGGATCTTAAAAATTCTGACCCAGTTTATTGAACACTTTGATCTAAATAATTTCACACAGGCTTTCTGCATACACCTGCTTCCTGCTTCTCTAGTGACATAGGCTAAAAGGTGTTTAGAGGCTGCCAAAAAAACTATGTCATAAATGCCACCATTATATGTTTATGAATACACAAAATATTGAGAAAATATATTCCAGCATTCAAAATTATGATTCAGAAATTAACAATGAAGTTCCACAATTTCCAGAAAGAAAATATTCAATTGTGTCAAATATTGTTGCAAGGACAAGTAAATACAGAGGAAAGAAAGGGAGATTTGGCCAGATAAAGTCACTAGTGACAGTACGGGCACTGTTTCAGTAGAGTAAGCAGGGAATGAAGTTTGGGGTGGGTTGAGGAAGTGGGAAAGTTGAGACAGTAAGTACAGTAGTAATTCTTTGGGGTGCTGTAAGGGAGCAGAAAAATGGGGTGTAGCTAGAGAGTGAGAATGGATTAAAGCTTTTTTTAAAAAAAAAGAAAAAAAAGGCCGGGCACGGTGACTCATGCCTGTAATCCCAGCACTTTGGGAGGCCGAGGCCGGCGGATCATCTGAGGTCGGGAGTTTGAGACCAGCCTGACCAACATGGAGAAACCCCGTCTCTATTAAAAATACAAAATTAGCTGGGCATGGTGGCGCATGCCTGTAATCCCAGCTACTCAGGAAGGCTTAGGCAGGAGAATCGCTTGAACCCCGGAGGCGGAGGTTGTGGTGAGTCGAGATCATGCCACTCTTCCAGCCTGGGCAACAAGAGTGCAACTCGCTCTAAAAACAAAACAAAACAAAACAAAAAAATAAAACAAACAAAAAAACCACGAGAGATTCTAAAGCATGTTAAAATGTACCATCCAGTAGTTAGGGACGGAGAACTTAAAGGGGCAAAGAAAGGGATAAGTTAAAGGGTAAAACCTTTCAGTAGGTGTAAGAGGACACCATCTGGAGCAGAAAGGAGGGTGGGACCGTTGCTGGCTTTAGATAAGAAATAAGATCGACTTTATATGGCTATTATGATGCTCCAAATAAATTAACCATTGTGAAAACCCTTCGTAAGTTTCAAGATACTAAAATGTACTACCAGGCTGGGTCTGGTGGCTCACGCCTGTAATCCTAACACTTTGGGAGGCCGAGGTGGGCGGATCACCTAAAGTACGGGGTTCGAGACCAGCCTGGCCAATATGGTGAAACCCTGTCCCTACTAAAAATACAAAAATTAGCCGGGTGTGGTGGCGCACGCCTGTAGTCACAGCTACTTGGGAGGCTGAGGCAGGAGAATAGCCTGAACCGGGAGGCAGAGGTTGCAGTGAACTGAGATTGTGCCACTGCACTCAGCCTGGGCAACAGAGCAGCATGCCTTCTCAAAAACAGAAACAACAAAAAAAACCTAACCAAATAAAATGTACTATCAAACAACTGCTCAGGCAATGAAGTATTTTATTACACCCACGTAGCACTTGTAGATTCAGAGATAAAGATCTTCCAAGCTTATTATATCCCTAATCAATACAAATTTTTATCATAATAGATGTTTTCACTTATTTATTTTTACGCTTCACGGATAAAAGCCCACAAGATGTGTTTGGATTCTTAGTTTTACTTTTAAAGCAGCAAACAATCTTCACTTTGCTTGGATTCGAACCTATATACTTCCTATTTTGTTTCCTCTACTAAATTTATTGAATACACAAATGATTCTCGTGGCCTTTATAAGTTTCGTAATTTCGCTTTTCCTTTTCACATGTGGTCCTTGATACCGGGGGCAGAAGAAAAACAACTAACCTCTTCTTTAAAAACGCGTTTCCCTTTTCCATCTCTAAAAAAAAACGAAAAGACGTAAAACCAATGGGAGGGGGGAAGGGAAAGAAATGAGGAAAAATCTAAGGAAGATTAACGTGTACTTCCCGGGCAGCGGGAAGGTGGACCGAGCAGTATCTTTGCGGCGGATTGGGGTGTGGGGGGTCCGTGAACGCGCAGAATGAGCGGTAAGGGCTGGTCAACCAGCCCGACGCAACTTCACCGAGGACGAGGAAAGGAAGCTCTGAGGAAGGGGTTACTCCCAGGCAGGATGTAAACTAGCTGAAGGCCTCGCTGAGGGGCTTTAGAGGCATGAAACATCTTTAAGCGGGGGCGGGTGGGGAAGGGATATCAAGGGTGTGGATTCTTTAGGGCCTTGAAACAACGAAGGCTCAAAACAAAAGCCACAAAGGCTAGCGGAATAGTAGTACAGGCTGAGAGGGAAGGGACACTTCCCTTGACCTACCAATCGCTGCTGGCCCTGGAGCCGCTGGACTCCTAGGTAACGTCGCAGACGGAAATGACGTAACTCAATCCGTTCTATCCCGCCCCATTGCCCTCCTAGCCCCGCCTTCTAGGCCCAGCCACTCCTCCCCGGCCTTTCCTCTACTGGCGCTCTGACCAAGTCCGGGGGATCTAGACCAAAAGCCTATGAAGACTGCTGGTTCTATTAGAAGCCTACTTTCGATTGTCAATGGCTTTCAGGCAAAGGATTTTGCAAGGGAAAGCAAAGTGATTGTCTACGAAGTTGGGCTTGGTATATAATGAAGCCCAGTCATTTCAACCAAGAACCTTAAAGATGTTGAGAAATATAATGAAATATTTTCTATTTAATTAATTTTTGTAAAATTTTTTTTGAGATAGGGTCTCAATCTGTGGCCGAGGCTGGAGTGCAGTGGCGTGATCTCGGCTCACTGCAGCCTGGAACTCCTTGGGCTCAGGTGATTCTCCCACGTCAGCCTCCCGAGTAGCTGGGACCACAGGAGTGCACCACCACGCCAGGCTCATTTTTTCTATTTTTATTAATAGTGGCGACAGGGTTTCTCCATGTTGCCCAGGCTGGTCTTGAACTCCCGAGCTCAAGCGATCCTCCCAACCCCACCTCCCGCCTTGGCCTCCCAAAGTGCTGGGATTGCAGGTGTGAACCACCGCGCCCGGCCTATTTAATTAGCCTATTTAAGGTCTTGCTCAAGGTCAAAGAATACGTGACTTGCAGTCCAATGTTATTTCTAAATGTAAGCTCTTCAGCTGGTGAAGCTAAACTGGTTTTAAGTGAAAACAGACGACCTCTTGAATGAGTTTTCAAATGACCTTAAATAATGCAAGCACTGCTTATCTAAAGCAAGTCTGACTTGCTTGAATTCGGATTCTGACACTCCGGCAGTGCTTTAGTTGGTCACAGATTATTGCAATGTGAAAAAAATCTTGTTCAGAACTGCCCAGTTTTGCTACGTTCCTCCTATGTTCAGGCATGGAATATAATTAGTTTGTAAGGAAGATAAACTTTTTTTTTTTTTTTTTTTTTTTGAGACAGAGTCTCGCTGTCTCCCAGGCTGGAGTGCAGTGGCGCCATCTCGGCTAACTGCAAGCTCCACCTCCCGGGTTTACGCCATTCTTCTCCTGCCTCAGCCTCCCAAGTAGCTGGGACTACAGGCGCCCGCTGGCACGCCAGGCTAATTTTTTGTATTTTTAGTAGAGACGGGGTTTCACTGTGTTAGCCAGGATGGTCTCGATCTCCTGACCTCGTGATCCACCCTCCTCGGCCTCCCAAAGTGCTGGGATTACAGGCGTGAGCCACCGCGCCTGGCCAAGGAAGATAAACTTTTAAGGGGGAAAAGAAACACCTGAAGAGAAATTTCCCTGTATTATGAAAACATTTGTACAGAAAAAATTCTTGGTAGGTTAATTCAGTGACTCACTGAGCTTCCAGAGTTCTTTAAAATAATCACAATCATAAGCAAGGGGTGAGCTTCAGTTCCCCTTCATGTAGTTACCTTGATGCACTAATACACAGTAGTTATGAACAATAAACTGTAAAAATATAGTCATGGAAACATTAAGTATATCTTAATTTTCAATCTAATAGAAACTGGGTTAAAATTTTTAAATTCAGGCCAGGTGTGGTGGCTTACACCTGTAATCCCAGCACTTTGGGAGGCTGAGGTGGGCGAATCACTTGAGGTCCGGAGTTCGAGACTAGCCTGGACAATATGGTGAAACCCCCTCTCTACTAAAAATACAAAAATTAGCCAGGCATGCTGGCGCGCCGCCTGTAGTCCCAGCTACTCAGGAAGCTGAGGCAAGAGAATCGATAGAACCCCGGAGGCGGAGGTTGCAATGAGCAGAGATGGCGCCATTGCACTTCAGCCTGGGCAAGAGCAAGATTCCCTCTTAAAAGAAAAAAGAAAATTAAATTCAAAATTACACAACAATGTGAATATACTTAAGGCCACTGAGTTGTACAATTAAAAGTAGTTAGAATGATAAATTTATATTTTACCACAATTTAAAAATTTTCAATTAAAAAACTACAAAACTAAGCCAGTAGATAATTTAGAACAAAAATTCCTAAATGTACAGGATGAAATATAAAAATAAATTTAAGGTATACTGCTGTTTATATATTATTTTTATTAGGTGGGTGCAAAAGTAATTGCGATTTTTGCCATTAAACATACATAATTAAACATAATGGCGAAAACCGTGATTACTTTGGCATCAACCTAATAAACTCTACATATTTTTAATGTAGTGCTTATCTGAATTATTTTAAAAAGTGTTTACAGTAGTTACTATCGAATACTTACGTTACCTCTAACCTGATCCAGAAGAATTCAGCAATTTCTAGGTAATAGGGTCGAACATTTTCTTATTGCTCTAATACATGTAAAAATTGTTCAGTTCTTTAAAAGTATCTTTCTTTAAAGTAGCCACAAGGGATCATTAAGACTAGAAACTCTCAAATGTAAGGTTTATTCATTTATATGTACCTGCTTAAATCTAGGAACAGTTTACTAAGAAGCAGAATTCAGAAGAACTTCTGGGTGGTATCACAGAAATCGTTCCTTCCTTCCTTCTCTCTTCTGCACTCCACTCATTCTCTTCCTCTTCTTTTTCTCTCTGTCTTACTACTATTATACAATATATCATATTTATGAAATTCATATTCTTGCTTTCCACTTACAAGGCAAAGATTTTTCTTTATAAACTATGCAAAGACAAGAGATAAAGAAACAAAAATGAATTGGCATGAGGAAAGGGGAAATATTTGTAGTGCCGAGGGAGAAGAGTCACAATTATATGCCATTTCTTTCCTGTCTGCTTTGGCACTGGAACAAACTCCAACAACAGGGGACTCCAAGGCTGTCCCCTGGGTGTGAGCATGGAATCTTTTATAATTGTGGAAAATATGTCATGTAGTAGAAAACCACAATGTCACACATGAGGAGTGGGTGCAGGCACAGGTCCTGCAGTGGTCCTAAAGGAGGCCAGAGGGACCTCCAAACAGGCATCCATCCTTTTGTTGAGGCTTAGCAGTTTGAAGAGGCTAGGGGAAGGGAGTTGGCACCTTTAGCGAATTATTGGCTGAGAAATCTGTCCTCTTCACTACAATGACTCTTGTTATGCCAGGGGACTGTTTGTCTTCTGTGTACCCTTGTTGTATTTTCTTTTTCTTTCTTTTATTTTTTTGGGATGGCGTCTGGTTCTGTTGCCCAGGCTGAAGTATGGTGGCGGGATCTCGGCTCACTGTACGCTCCGCCTCCCGGGTTTACGCCCTTCGCCTGCCCCAGCCTCCCAAGTAGCAGGGACTACCGGTGTCCTCCATGATGCCTGGCTAATTTTTTTGTATTTTTAGCAGAGACGGGGTTTCACTGTGTTAGTCAGTATGGTCTTGATCTCCTGACCTCGTGATCCGCCCGCCTCAGCCTCCCCAAGTGCTGGGATTACAGGCGTGAGCCACCGTGCCCTGCCCCTTGTTGTATTTTCGCCATCAACAAAAATAATGGTGCTAAGCTTAAATGTTTTTTCTTTTCTTTTCTTTTTTCTTTTTTTTTTTGAGACTGTAACCATCCAATGAGTTCTCCTTGCCTGCTGCCTAGACAGAGCCAATTTACCAAGACAGGGGAATTGCAATAGAGAGTTTAATTCTTGCAGAGTTGGCTGTGTGGGAGACCAGAGTTTTATTACTCGAATCAGTTTCCCCGAAATGTCAGGGAGTGTGGTTTTTAAGGATAATTTGGTGGGTAGAGGATCAGAAAGTGGGGAGGTGCTGATTAGTTCGGTTAGAGTTGAAATCAAAGGGAGTCGAAGCTGTCCTCCTATGCTGTCAGTTCCTGGGTTGGGGCCACAAGACCAGATGAGCCAGTTTATTGATCTGAGTGATGCTAGTGGAATCATCGAGTACAGGGTCTGCAAAATATCTCAAGCACTGATTTTAGGTTTTACAATAGTGATGTTATCCCCAGGAGCAATTTGAGGAGGTTCAGAATCTGGCAGCCTTCAGATGCATGACTCCTAAATCATAATTTCTATGTTGTAGCTAATTTGTTAGTCCTGCAAAGGCAGTCTAATCCCCAGGCATGAAGGGGGATTCTTTTGGGAAAGTGCTGTTATCATCTTTGTTTCAAAGTTAAACTATAAACTAAGGTCCTCCCAAGGTTAGATTGGCCTATGCCCAGGAATAAACAAGGACAGCTTGGAGGTTAAAAGCAAGATGGAGTTGGTTAGGTCAGATCTCTTTCACTGCAATGATTTTCTCTTTAAAATTTTTGCAGAGGTGGTTTCAAGACAGGATCTTGCTCTGTTGCCCAGGCTGGAGTGCAGTGGCATGATCATAGCTCACTGTAATCTCAAACTCCTGGGCTCAAGCAGTCATCCCACCCCAGCCTCCCAAGTAGCTGGGACTACAGGTGTTCACTACCGTGTCCAACTAATTTTTAAATTTTTTCTTTTGTAGAGTTGAAGGTCTCACTGTGTTGCCAGGGCTAGTCTTAAACTCCCGGGTTCAAATGATCCTCCTGCCTCAGCCTCCCAAAGTGCTGAGGTATGAGCCACTGTGACTGGCCTTTTCTTTCTTCTAATGTTATTACAGATTTCTGCCCTCTAGGGACTGAGTGGTGATTTTGGTTCATTTATTCATGAAGACATAATAGAATCAAAATTAGACCAATGCAGTTATAGAAATACCAGGGCTATAAGTGGTTACAACCTCTTTCTTAAAAAGCAGAAGGTATCCTTTTCAAATTTTTATTTAGAAAATTTATTTTATTTAAAAAGTATACATATATGTCCCAAGATAAAAAGTTCTAAACATAGATTTAAAAAGAGCATAATGGAAAAAAATATAAATATTTTCTGTTCCTATTTATATCTTTTGTGCATTTATTGTCTTTTCTAAGGTTGGTATTTTTCTTTGTTTTGCAATTTGATCCATACTTAAAGTAAAAAAAATTTAAATATTATAGAAAGGTATAAAGCAAAAAGTAAAAATTCCCTTCACTCCATCTTCTCCT